ACATCTTTAAATTTTTTATTTATTTTTGAATGAGAAAAAATTTGTTCCGTCACATTAAAAAATTTGTGTAAAAGATGTAGATAAGAATAAAAGAATTCCATTAGAATATTTTGGTGCATGTTTTGGATTTACGTTCGCAGAACAAATTCAATCCACATTCAGGATCACTATTTGTCATGCCGTGTTCGTTCGGCAGTCCTCCGGGTGAATCGCTTGGATTGCATGCTTCTCCTTCCACTGTAAAAGAATAAAAATTACTTAAGAACGCCCAAAAAATAATTTTCCCTAACCTATAGTTTGCCTACGGTAAAAACTCCTCTAAGAAGCGAAAATTTCACGGAAATCGCTTTACTTCTGGTGCTAGTAGTAATGAGATCGCTAACACATCAGCTGATGCTAAAGTTGATTCTGCCAGTGCCAAAAAGTTAAAATCTGGCTATGAAGAAGTAAAAAATACTTTTAAAGATAAACGTGAATCTTTAGAAGGTAATAGAATTGTCAGTTTGGCAAATTTAATTGCTATATTTTCCATGGTATGTTCCCCTGACTGTTTCTCTCTTGGATTAGAACTGGTAGAAGACTCTATCACAGGGTTATGCTCAAATATGACCATTAAATGCGAGCATTGTCCTTTTTTGAAAGCATTTTCAACAACAGAGAAACAAAAAAATTCTTGCTGTATTAATTCATCAATTGTTTTAGGGCTACGTTTAATCGGGAAAGGATTTTCAGCTGGAAGAAAGTTATGTGCTTTTCTCTGTTTACCCTTTCTAGCAAAGGGTGCTTTTCGAAAGCAAGAAAAAAAACTGTTGAAAATCGTTGAACACTGTGCAGAAGTTAACATGAAATCTGCTTTAGATGAAGTTATGGGTTCACGAGATGTTGCTAAATGTGGAATATCTGTCGATGGGACATGGCAACGCAGAGGATACTCATCATTAAATGGATGTGTTAGTGCTATTTCCATCGACACTGGTAAAATTTTAGATGTTGAAGTCATGTCACAGTATTGTCGGATATGCTCAAAAGGTAACAAGTCATCAGATCATATCTGTGCAAACTATAAAGGTTCCGCTGGTAATATGGAAGTTGTTGGTGCTTATCGCATCTTTGAACGGTCAAATGCAAAAAATGTGCAATACAGTGAATATTATGGTGACGGAGACTCGAAAGGGTATGACAGCGTAAAAAACTTTTATGGTGATAATTCAGTAATGAAACTAGAATGTATTGGACACGTCCAGAAACGTGTAGGTGGAAGTTTGCGTAAATTGAAGAAAAAGATGAAAGGCATAGGAGGCAAAGGTAAATTAACTGATAAATTGATAGACAAAATCCAAAATTATTATGGTATTGCTGTAAGAAGTAATGCAGGTAATCTGCAAAACATGATAAGTGGTGTAATAGCTGCATTTTATCATAGTGTGTCTGGCAAGGATAATCATTATCATGGCCAATGCCCCGAAGGTATTGAAAGTTGGTGTCGTTTTCAAAGTGCAAAAGCAATAGGAAAATCGCTCAAAGAAAATGGAACTGGATTACCAAATAAAATTGTCAATTTAATCAAACCGACATATTTAAAACTGTGTAGTACAGCTCTACTACATAAGTGTCTCCATGGTAAGACACAAAATTGTAACGAAAGTTATAACAACATTTTGTGGAATTTTTTGCCTAAAGATACTTTTATTGGACTTGAAACATTTCGTTTAGGAACTTATCTAGCTGTAATTCTCTTCAATTCAGGGCATAGTGGTTTACTATCTGTGTTTAAAAATGTCAATTTTTACTTTCATGAAATACTTTCAAAAGAAATCATTAACTTTGATAAAGAACGTATTTCGAGCTCTATACGACATTCTTTACCATTGACGAAGTTAGCTCGGAAAAAAAGAAAAGCAGATCGAAAAACTAAATGTACTAAATATGAAAAAAAAGAAGGTTTAACATATTCATATGGTGGATTTTAAACCAGCATATGTGATGAATAATTATATGAATTATACTTTTATTTACCATATATTGTATTTTAAATATTTTTCGTAAGTCTTTGCATTCTATATTATGCAATATATATGCTGTTTATATTATATAATTCGACTTATATATTTCAAAAGATATACAACATTAAAAGGAAAAATATATTTGTAAAAAAATTAAATCATTTAATGTAACACATTTAATCTAGTATATTATTTTAAAATGTTGAATGCATATATGTCAGTAATTAGAAATTTTAACGTTAAAAATTGTCTGATTGGCAATTACTAAATGGCTCCAAAATTAAAATTACAGTAACTTGAAAAGTTAATTATTATTGATCTGTACTAAACAAGAGTTTATTCTTCTAATACAAATTAGTTTTAGATGATTTTGGCAATATAATTTTTTGAAATTTTGGTTTTAATTCTTTAAATGCAATTTTCTCAAAATCAGATTTTTTCGTTTTTGATGTCACCGCAAAGATGATAACTAAAAAAGTTTTCAAGATAATTCTCTAAAATTTTGTACCAGTGTTTAAGAATATAAAACACATGTTTGGAACTAAGGATTAAGAAAATTTTGTATATTTACATTTTTTATGATAGTTTTGATTCTGTGATACATGTAACTTTTTCGAAAAATTTGTACTTTAAAGCATTTTGGATCATAACATACAAATAAATAGAAATAGTGCATAGATAATAGTTTATAACATAGATAAATGTCTTTTGAATATAATTGTAGAAGGATTTTTTATTTTAAGCATTAGAATAAGTTTTGCAGCTTTTTCCGTAATGTACAAAAAACGCCTTATTAATGCATGAAATTACCAATTTTTTCAAAAAATATATATTCCCAGAAAAACTTTTAGCCAATTTTATAAGTTTCCACCTAAACTCAATCAAAAAATGAGTTTAAAAGTTAATTTCAAGCAATATTTTTAAAAAAAGTTGTCGCTAGTAGTCAGATACCTTAAACCTAACAGATTTTTCGTAATAAACAAGGAACCTTAGTAGAATTCGGGACAATTTTATGTAATATTTTTTTAGTTTAAAATCTTAGTTTTGTTTAACATACAGAATATATAATGATATCTTATCAATATTATATTATTCCATTTGTTTATTGAAAATAAGTCTTTTTTTTCAAAAACGTTTAATTTTTTAACATTTCAAAGTAAATTTTACCATTTTTTTGTCGCTTAACATTGAGAGAAACATTTTTTTCATGCAAAATATTTACTTAACATAATTTATAAGTTTATTTTAACATAAATAAATAAGCATTTAAATTATTGTCAATTCAAATGATTGTAAAATATAGTTGTGATTGCGAAAGAAAAAAAAAAAAGGAAGAAAATGATTAAGCACTTGCACTGAAGATATGGAGTCAGCCAAAATGTTTTCAAACTTTTTTAAAATAAATAGATATTAGGATTAATCATTTTACATATTAGAGCTATTCATTTTATTTACCCATGAATTTTTTTAAATGAACAAAAGTTAATGATTTTTAGTTATTCACTGTTTAGTTTATTGATATAAAATAATTCCTGTGCTACATTTCTGTAGAGTTCTATTTATCTTGTCACTTAAATTTTCATAAATTAAATAAATAGAAAGATGACTATCTTATTAGTTTTTTAGCTTAGTATGCATTAAAAACTTTTTTGTTTCTTTCAGTGAACATGAAATATTGAAGCAAGAGTTTTTTGAATACTCTGGTTTTCATGGAGAAATTGGCGCAATTGACTACTCATATAGCCATTATTGCCCCCAAGGATGATGTTTCCCACTGGGAACAAAATTATGTGAATCGAAAAAATATTCATTCACTAAATGTTCAGCTTGTAAGACATATTTTTTTTATTAATTATTTCCTATTCAAGTCTATCTTTAGCTTGTATTTATTATTTAAGTTCATTTACTGTCAACTTGTAATGTATACATGTTCTTATTCAATATAATGATCATTAATATGAATTAATGTAATACAATTTCAATATTTACAGGTTGTTGATATGCAGCAAAAAATTTTAAATATCGTAGCTAGATTTCCTGGCAGCACGCACGACTCCTATATTTGGAAATCAAGCGAATTGCGAAAATGGCTGCAACTATCAAAACTAAAAGACACATGGCTCTTGGGTAATAGCTCTTATAATAAATGGTTTAAATTTATATTTATTAATCATATGTGTGCATATTATTTTAATGTAAGATCAATGAACAGTTTTCTATTAGAAAAAACATTACTCCAATTATTGATACTTATTACTCCATTCTGATTCCATAATTTATTCGAATAGGGGATTCTGGATATCCACTTGAGCCATGGCTGTTAACTCCCATCAGTGGAGATAATGTATCTTCGCCTAAAGAGGAATACAATAGGAGACATGTTTCTGGCGTTGCAATGGCACACTGAAAAGCAGATTTCGGTGCCTTTTGAAGCACCGAGTATGGAATTACTCCCCTGAAACAGCAGCGAACATAATCAATGCCTGTGCTGTGCTGCACAATACATATGTGTATAAATGAAAATATAGTCATTGAGAGAAACATCTCTGGATCTGATGTGCCTTTTGACACTGGAGTTCCGATCAATCCAGGGCAGCGAGAAACCGAAGTTTGAGATAAAGTTGTCCGAATGCTTACAAGTTAAGGAGCTGTTATATTTTTAAAATTTTCACAAAAAAATTAAAAAAAAAAAAACTTTTAAGCACTCCAGAGCTATTTTAAATAGTGCTGCCAGTCCTAAGCCTGGAAAAAGTGTGAAGGGAAGTTATAATCATTTTAAATAGATTTTAAACCACTTCCAATTATCCGAAACATTTTCGGCCCCGAGTAGTTTGGATAGGCGCCGCTCTACTGCACATTTTTTAAAATTTCTTTAGCAAATACTTAGTTCAAAATTTTAGAGGTAATTAGTTCAACGAGAAACTAATGTGAGAGAGAAAGTTGTACATATGTTTGCTGTTTAAAAAGCTTTAAAATTTCTCACAAAAAAATAAAAACTAATAATCTTAATTATCTGACATCTTAACTTTGATGTTTATTTTTCCTATCTACGATGAAATACCAGTTTTGCAATTGTTTTTAGCCATCTTTTTTGTCGCCAGATATAATATAATACATTTGTTGTGATTTAAGTTGTTGTACTGTAATGTAACTGACTTATTCTTGATCAACTTGTCTATATTATTTTCTCTTTTATGTTGATTATCCAGGAATATCTTTATAAATAAGGGTTTTGTGCTTGTTATCAAAATATTTTTTTCAAATTAATTGTTTTGCACAATGTTTTCTCAAATTAAATGTTTTGCTCTTTTTGAAATCCATTAAAAAAATGAACTTTTCTGCGAGCTGTCTTTTCCGAAAAGGTAGCATGTGTTTGGTCAAATAATGTAATGTGGTAAGCCTAACTCATAACTCCATTTTAAAGCGAGTGTTTTTTAGCTGAGTTTTTGAATGAAAAAATGAGGCTCTCCCACTGTAAACTTTACATGGAGTCGAAATTTGAACATTATCTTAAACACTATTTTAAATTTACTCTAACAAACCTTTAATTTTTTCTCCGTAGAACTTTTTCTTGTATGACCCAGTTGAAAATGTTATCGTAATTAAAATAACTTTTTGTACTAATACTGCTAAATGCATTTTTTTTTTATTATTAAATTCTAGTTGAATTTGAACAATAATCTATGGATTTTGAAATTTCGATATAACTTTTAGCCAAAAATTTTACAATAGCAAAAATTTTTGAATACATGGGGGAAAATATATTGAAATTTACCAGTAATAGATGATTTTTTTTTGTAGTGACAATTTTTGAAAATATTTTCGTAATTGACCATATTTTTGTGTTGATTTTTTAATATAATTTTCACAAAATAGGTACCTTTTACAAAAACCTAGACAGATCCCACCTTTTATAAATGAGAAATGTTGTTAGAGACCATTTTTTTTGTACTACTTCAATTTGCATAAGTTTATTTCAATTAAAACACATAGAATAAATGTGTAAAGACTGGTTTTAACTTACATACTCATTTACTTGGTTATGCTGTCTAATATTTTGAACTTAATCTGAAATCCAAATTATTAGTTGCTTTAAAATATAGTCTTTCATCGGTGTATGCTTATGCTTTTTAATTGAAAGTTTATAACACTTGGTTTAGCGAAATAGCAATAAAGTAAGCACAATAAGTGCCCAGTTTGTATACGTAGTACTAAACATTATAATAAGTGAACTACCGCCACAACACGCGAACATGTTAAGAGAAAAATGAAATCAACGTGATTGCACTCAAGAATTCTCTACTTTTTAATTAGATTAAAAATTTTGGTTAAAAAGACAGACCAGAAGCTGGCATACAATAAAATATAATAGAAATATTAAGTTTCCAAATAGTCTTATATCTGCATCCTGAAGTGAGAATACTCAAGCACCAAATTTTTTTTTTTAAATGTCAGTCCACAAGTTCACTAGACTTAAAATAAAACTGTAATCTTGTTAATTAAAACTTACAATTACAAGAAATTTATACACTTAAATAAAAAAAAATTGAATTCCTAACAATAAAAGAAAATGGTAAGTGAAATTGTTTCAAACCTGATATAAAAGTATCAAACATTAAAGTCAATAAATATAAAATAGATATTTCCTCAATAATATACGAATACACAAACAAAGTGGAAATACAAGTTTGAGAAATTTACTTAATTTTATTCAGATATATATATAAAAAAAAACTAAACTAAACGACTAGCCAAAACTTCTGCAATTTTCTCAAAAGCATCTAACAACTGTTAAGAAAACATAAAGAATGCAGTTGCAAAAGGAAAAAAAAATCATAATTTAATCAAAGGTCTGCAAAATTTTTAAGCTAATTTATTGTTTGTTTATAACTTAGAGAAATCGGTGTTATTTTGCGAAAATTTTCTTCCTAAGTTCGAAACATTGAAAGGAGACAAATACTCGTACAACCAACGATGCCCATGAAAATAAATTTATACTACACAAACTACTTACTTCTCTCCATTTCTCTACAGTTTTATGGCAGCTTCCAATCGCGTGTAACTCCAGCTGTAAGGCCAGGCCAGCCACATTCTCTCTCTGCCTTTATTCGTGAAAGTCGGCGTTAACTCTCCTTTGTACAGTACTGAAGGAGACCAATTTTTCTATCTGCGTAGGAGTAATTTTTTTTACCCATAATTAAGATTCTTAATCTATCAAAGAAAATACACAGTGCACGGAATTAGTATTTTAAGAAAACACACGGTAGATAAAACAACGTTGCCATATTGCGGAAATAAATATTGCATAAATTAAACGATTGGTTAAATTCAAGCCACGCCCTTAGAACCAGAATCGTGGAATGTCTGATTCCAGGTGAGTGTTCGTGGTACGATTTAGGGATGACATGGAATCAAACTTTCCCTGGCTTCTCGTTCCAGGCGGGAATCTTCGTTCCATTCCCAGTAGTTCATGGTAGGGGTCCAGAATATGAACCAATTTAATTGTAATTTTGGCTGCCCCTGGAGAGTTTACATCCTGGATCATTGATAAAAAGAGTCATGAAATATAACACCTTAGAGGAAGACCCAAAATTGAAGACAGAGGAGCAGACTATAGAGTTAATGAGCAAAGTTCTCGATGAAGGTAAAGGTAATATAAAAGGTGTTAAAGGGTCTTCACCTTTGATTCTTGCTGAAGGCTTGGACTTCATTCGACGCTTGCTAAAAATCAAGCCACCTCATGTATTTACTCGAATACCCAGATCTATCACGTAAAGGAAATATTGGAAATTTAATGAGTGGAAAACGTGGCTCCTTTTCTACGCTTTACCATAGTATCCTTCCGGACAAATTCCTGCAACATATGTCTTTACTTTCTGAGTCCATCTTCTTGCTCTTAAACAAGCCAGTTTCTATCGATGATATTAGAATTGCAGACGTTATGCTAACTCAGCTTTTTATCAAGATAAAGATATTTTATGGACCTGCTGCCATGACATTTAGTGTGCATCAAATGCTACACTTAGTTTTACGCGTGCGAGACTTGGGCGCTCTATGGGCTCAATCAGCTCTTGTTTTTGAAGATGGCAATGGCAAAATGTTGCATCTGGTAACTGCAGCTAAAGATGTTCCCCTAAAAATTCTGAATGGATTTTCCATAGAAAAGAAACTTGTTTAATCAGAAGAACAATTCTGAAAAGTTTCTAGATTTTATGAGGGTCTACATTCACATAATCTTTTGAAAAATTGCAGGATTATGTGACTGTAGGTAATAGTGTGCATTTACTTGGCAAGGAAAAAGTCTCCAAGACTTTCAATGAGACTGAAAGGCAGGCATATATTGATGCAATAGGAGCAGTTCCTGACGTGTTATCTGAATATACCAGAGTTATTCTTAATTCTCGCATGGATCACAACGTGCAGGAAAGACTGATAACACTGTTGTAAAATTTCAGTCTGATTATAGCAGTGAATTTGTTAAGATTTAAAAATTTGTTGTTACGATTGTTAATAATATCTTACAATGTTACATACTAAACCGAGAGCTGTTAGCCCCTGTCCAAGTTGAACCTGCAACTTATATGCCAAGGCATATAAAGGAACATGAATTGATTCCTAAGGAACATTCCATTCTCGTTACAATTAAAGAAAATCAGGTATATCTGTGCAGCTGTTGAGGTGGACTCATTTATATATGTGTGTAAAATACCAAACTTGCACGAAAAAGATTAAGTTACGTCAGATAAAAGTAAAGCTTTAGGGTTTTCACTGTATGTCTAAATCTAATCTGTTGGATGTTCTATTTACCCCCTGAAATGCTACCCTCATGCTATCATAAGTAGATGTAATTTGGTTGGTCAAAGTTTATTGGCACAAGAGCCAGAAATGGCTATACAGAGCCAGTTGCACTAGGTAAGAGAATCGCACTTTTATTTATATTAATAAATACAGAACTCTTGTTTTGATGAGATTGTGATGTACAGGGTCACTAAGTAGGGATGAAAGATTGGGATAAAATCTGCTAAAACTTTCTTCCTGAAATATTTGAATCGTCTGCAGTTGGTTAATGTGTGTTTAATGGAAATGTCGACTTGACATTGAATACAGCTGGGTGTAGGTTCGGCTTTCAGCACATGGGTAAAACTAGTATGACCAATTCGTATTCTACTAATCTAAGTCTAATGTTTTGCGATCAACAGTTAATGCCTTACAATTATCAAGATTAGGATAAATTCCATGTAATTTATTGTTATTTTGTGTATTTCAATAGTTTTTCCGGGCTTGATGAATTGAAGATTTACAAGTGTGTTTAAGGTCCAAAGATGTCAAGAGATTACTGATTAAGTTATGAGTAGTTTTAGCTTAGCTAATTATATAGAATTTTAGAGGTGAAGATGTTATTAAACA